TGGCATTTAATGCATAACAAAAGCCTTTTTAAAGAGACCTTTGTAGGCATTCTGCAAAAGGAGGAGGGGAAATGTACACAGGTACCATTTTTCTTAAAATAATGCTTAGCATTTAAATTGCATTTGCATCATCTTTAATTTTTTACCTCTCTGGGATTTAAAACAGTTACATCAGCCCAGGCCAGATGGCTCAGCTGGTTGGAGTATCACTCTGTACACCAAAATGATTGCAGGTTCAATTCCCTGTCGGGGCATATGCCTAGGTTGTGGGTTTGATTCCCAGTCGGGTCTCATACTGGAAGCAACCAGTCGATGTTTTTTTTTTTCTCTCTCCCCACCATCCTCCCTTTTCCTCTCTCTCTAAAAGCAATAAATATATCCTCAGGTGAGGACTAATAAATAAAACAACTACAACATCATGTTAGCCATTAAATGCCTTTAGTGTACATGTCTGTGGCTCTTACCACAGCAAACTCTGCCAGTGCGAGTGTTGCTGATAGTGGCTTGTGAGCCCTGTCCAGGCTCCTTGCCCGTCGCCCTCCTTACAAGTAGTGACTCAACAAGTGGTAAAGAGTGTGGGGAGGTAGCTGGAATGCTCTCCCAGAAGCTGAAGGGCGAAGAGTAGGAGAGCGTCCGACAGTCAAGTCAGGAGCTTATCTGTGGGTGGTGGCCGTCTGCCTGGTTTCAGTCGCCAGTTCCAGTGGGTGATTCAGGGTCTGCTCCTGGCTGCACTTCTAACCTGTTGCTGCTCCGGACTCTAAGTACACATTTCAATACACTGTTGGGATGCTTCCAGTCTTTATTCTGCAGATAGCAGAAGAGGTGCCTAGGCCACATGTGGTTATTCGAATTTCAATGAATTAAAATGAAATGGAACGAACTCAGTCCCTTGGTCACAGTGTGGCTAGCAGCCACGTATGGACGAGTGGACAGACCAGCATTGCCCTCGCTGCAGAAAGTCCTGTGTGCGGAGCTTCGGCCCTTCCCCCATCAGCAGTTAACCTTTGCCAAATAATGTAATCAGAGAGGGGGACTCACACACTTAACCTATTTTTAAAACCTGAAAATGGCTTGGCATTCTTTTTCTGTCCTTTCATTCACGGACTGACTCCCGTCAGAGGCTCTGGGATGATGGACGAGAAGCCTCCTGTCTTGCGTTACCCAGCTTCTTTCTGTCCCACTGCCCCCTTCCTTCCCTCCTGCTCACCAGCATGCCCACAGGCCACTAGCTCACTTCCCTCCTTCTCCTCAAACTGTTGCTAATAGATACACTCCACCTGCAGCTCCTCACCGCTCACTCCGCTGCCCTCGCAGCCTACATGCCGCCCCCCACACACAAGCCAAACAGTTGTTCTAGGCTCCCAGCTGCCTCCTGCTTGCCAAGCCCAGAGCGCCTCACCGGTCACCCTTTCCTCAACACCACAGACGCAGGCGTATTTGACACTTGCAGTCTCCCCTCTTGCCATGACGTTTTCTCTGTGGCTGTCCTCCCCTCGGTCATTTGTTCAGTCAGCTCCACCGTCTTCGTAGGTCAGCGCAGTTCTGTCTTCCGTCCATTTCCACTTCTCAGCCATAACTGGCTCGAGCTGTGACTCGCATTCTGAGAGTCCTCGTCTTACTGTGTCTGTACTTAGTTTTTCTCTGAACTCCAGATGAGAAGGTCCAGTGCTTGTCGAACACCTCTGTGCAGATTACTCCATCTCGCCCTGACGGGTGTGGCCCAGTTTGTCGGGCGTCGTCCCGCAAACCAAAAGGCTGCAGGTTCAATTCCCAGTCAGGGCGCATGTCTGGGTTGTGGGCCAGGTCCCTGGTTGAAAGACAATCAATGTTTCTCTCCCTCTCTTTCTCTCTTCTGTCACCCCTCTATAAAAATAATTAAAATTAAAAATATATATATCCCACCTCTCTCCCCACATTAAAAGATCCACTTCCAGGTGTGTAAGTTCTTAGCTCCGGAGCGTGTTTCCCTTCCAGGTTTCCTTCCCCCGACAAGCCGTCCCACCCCGCCCGCCGCCGCATCTCTTCACGCTGCCCACACTGTTTCCTCCTCACTCCACACTCGTCGTGTCTCCCGTGTCACCGTGGTGGCCTTCCTTCCTCGCCAGTGCCACCCTTCCACACCTGCCCCAGTGGCAGGCCCGGTCTGTCCTGAGCCTGGTGTGCTCTTCCAGTGCTTTTACTTCCACTCTGTCTTTTCTTCACTCGTGTTGATGCCAGATACAGTTCCTGGAGGCCATTTTTAAAAAGTGCACACACACGCACACATATATGCAAACATATGCGTGGTGATTACCAATTTAAATTTTGAATAAGCGATATATTTCCATGGTTCAACAATCAAAAAATGCCAAAAGGCATGTAGTAAAAAACTTGGCTCCTGCCCTGACCGGTGTGGGTTGTGGGTCCAGTTCCCAGTCAGGGCACGTGCCTGGGTTTCGAGTTCCGTCCCTGACCAGGGCATGAGAGGCGCCTGATCCACGTTTCTCTTCCTCTCTTCCTTCCCTTCGCTCAAGAAATCTTGGCTCCTACTCGTGCCCTTTATCCTCTCAAAGCATATCCTACTGAAGGGCAGTCCTGGTTAGTTTTATACTTACTGTTTTAAGAAAATTTTTAACATAGACAAGCATATGTGTGTGTGCATGTGTGAACTTTCCCTTCCGCTTGTCCTGGTAGCATGGGAACTATGCGGTTCTACACTATTCTTCACTTAGTAGTTGCTTCTGAAGAATAAATCTTATGGATCTTTCATAAAGATCTCATTTTTTACAGCTGTATAGAATTGTCTATGAAGGTACCATAATTTATTTAACCAGTCCCCTCTTGATGGACATTTAACTCATTCCCCATCTTTTGTTATTCCTAACACTTTTGCAAGAAAAAACACTTTCATAATTTATTTTTGCTCTTATGCAAGTATATCTGCAGTTCAGTTGTGAGAGTCAGTTCTTTGCTGCTGACCATCCACAGTGCCTGTGGCTAGTGCTGTGCTTCTCATGCCCAAGCCACAGACACCTCAGCCCAGTCCCCAGTCCTAAAGCCTTCCAGGACTCCCCAGGGCAGTGACCTGTCTGCCCCATCAGTGTTGGAGAAGAAGCAGGCAGCTCGATGGGCGGTAGCAAACAGTGGGAGCACGTGGCCCTGCTTCCTGTTAGACTCTGCAGTCTAGCTAAATGGGTCACCTCGCTGCACCCCTAACACCCAGGCAGTTTGTGCCTCCCTTCCTCTGCACAGAGTGCCTTCCCTCTGCTCCGTCCCGGCCTGTCCAGATCCACTGCCTCCCCTAGAGACCGGGCTCACACACGGCCACACCCACGAACTTCCTTGAGTCCTGCTCCTTTCTGCTTTCCACGGAGCGCCCTCACAGGACATGTCCTTTCCCAACCCGGGATATGCTGCAGGACCTGTGCAGTCCTCCTGACTTAGCTGCTAGTTAGTGACGCCTCGAACGCAGAACACTGCCTTGCTTTGATTTTGTGTTTGTATTTTTCCTTATCACTACAGATCAATTTCCTTTATTTCTCTTCATCAAAATTTATTTTTTCCCAAAGGCAGAAAGGGTTCTATCTCTGACTGGGAAGTTCCTAGGCAGGGGATGGGCCCTTACCCACTCAAAGGTTTTCCTGTTTCAACCCGAAATACTGGAAAGTGCCATCAAAGCACGTAAACCCTGTTCGTGTTTCCCCGTGGTGTCCTGCCAGTGTGTCGGCCGCCCACGTGCGGAGCGGGCCTGTCAGCTTATTTTGTATTATTTTTTTACTTAATTTCCTCTTTATTTTTTAGTTCCACCCCATGCTCCCTCCCCTTTGGCAACCAACAGTTTGTTCTGTCTCTGAGTGTTTTCCTTTTTTTGTTTTTGAGATTACACACTTAAGAGGATCCTACAGTATTTGTCTGTCTCTGTGCAGTGTATTTCACTTGGTAACCATCCTCTAGGTCCGTCCACCTGGTCACAAATGGCAAGATTTTATTACTTTTTACTGCTGAGGAACACTGTTTGGGTGACATATGTCACACCTTCTTTGTCCGCTCTTCTAACGACGAACGTCGGCGTCCATGTGCTGGCTGGTCCTAGTAACGCAGTGAACGGGAGGGTACGTGCATCGTTCTCATCGGATAAATGCCCAGAAGTGGAACCACTGCCTGGTGGGGAAGGCCTGTCTGTAACTTTTCCAGGGCTCTCAGACTCTTCCGTCAGCGGCGGCACTAACCCACGGTCCCACCAGCAGTGTGCAAGGATTCCCTCGCTGTGACTTGTCCTAAGGTTTCAAAAATTTGAAAAACAAAAGATCTTTATTTGTTGAGTTTCCCTTAATAAATAAATACTGAACATATGCTACAAAAATAGAGGAAAAGCATTTTTAGCTCACAGGGGACTTTAAAATATTTTCCACACAATAGATTACAATTACTTTGATGGTTCATCCCAAGCCTCCTAGCGTTCTGGTGTCTCGTTGTGCTAAGGAGCGAAAGGGCGGTGTGGATTCTGTTGTTGGTCTAACAGGAGGGTTTAGGGAGTCCTCGCTTTCAGTGCAGAAATCCCCCCACACCCTGGTGCATTCTGGCCTGTTGTTAAGTTAAAAATGCCTTCTCCTCCCTCCTAGGAATGTTCTTGAAAGCCTAGAGCCGTGACGTCTGCATTCTCAGCGACCGCCGTGTGGCCTCCTGGGAAATGAGGGTGCCATTCCGGGCCGTGCTGATGCGGTCACCAGCTGAAAGCATTAGCAGGCCCATAACGTGATTAGAAGCAAGTGTCTGTTTTTATTAGGAAAGTAAAATTGTTCTCTGAAACTTTTACTTTTAAAAGACTGAATAAAAGTTAACAGTCTACTCTCACCAGTGCAGTTTTGACTGAAACATCTGGAGAGCGTGGAGCAGGGAACTGCATGCCTTTGAGAGCCCAGTGCATCCAGGGTGCCCGCGTCCGGCTGCGCGTCCCTGAGCTGTGGTCCCTGAGCTCTGGCCGCCCGTGTGGTGATGCTTTCCCCTTTCTGTGCTGTTAGGTGTTCGAAGAACCTTCCATCAGCCTTTTTGCTCTGGAACACTGTGAGGGGAGAGAGTTACATCTTGAGGAGGCCGTGAACTCTGTTCTGAACAAGGACCTGCACTTCTACACCCAGTCCGTGTGGGTGAAGAGTGGACTGTAAGTACGGGAGAAGGCCTGGTGCAGCCACAGCTTCACCGCGGAACCGCGGAGATGCTTTTTGTTCCCTACTGCTGTGGGCTTTTTTCTCTCGACGTAACAGTAGATTCTGCTTAAGTAAGAGAGGACCGTGGGCCATGTCTTCTGGGGGAAGAGCCCGTGGGAGAGACAGGCTGCCGTGTGTGCGGAGCATGTGTCATGGAGCGGGACGATCGGGTGGCCCTAACCACTGATCCCACTGCCCCTTCTGAAGAAACCTAGTTAAATCAGCAACTCGGGTTGAGATCCTTGGCTGCAAATAGTTACAAAGTGACTATTTGTAAGACTCATAGTGTTTCGCCATATTTTGGTTTGGCGTCTTGTTTGTTAGAGAGCTGTTTGCCCCAGGGTGCTCACTCCCAGGCTGCGAGTACCTGAGTACCTTGTTGGACGAGGCCTGCCCTCCCGCCTTGCTCTTCCTTCCAGCCATGGTAGTTGGATGGTAGTTGGAGGGGGTGGGGGCAGTGGGGTGGGGTCCAGGTTCAGGCTGGCTGGGGCCTGCACTTTTGTAGTCTGGGGAGTCTACTTTGAGAAACGAGAAAATGAAGGATACATGAATCAGGTGTGAACTTTGTATATTTATTTAGAACAAAATGGTAAGAGGCCTTGCAAATGAAGGGCCAAGAACCAGAAGCTCAGTTTGCTTCCGGGAAAATCTGCCTCTGGGCCACCCCGCGCCCTGCCCACCCTGCTGGGGTTCTGGGACTGAGAAGCAGCTAAAACACCACACACAGCCTCCCTGATTAATATAAAGAGGACTGTTACTCTATTCTAATAACTTTTAAACTGTGTAACAATCAACTCTGCATGTTTAAATATCTGGGCATAATGAAAGAGAAAGCCAACAATATAAATTGATTTGAAAATTAAGTCAACTGTTATAATAAATGGCTTTCATATTATTCACATGTAATAGTTTAATTTTTTTCTTCACAGCACTTCACATGGTTTGATGTTTATTAAACACAAATTAATTTACTGTCTAAGAATAATAATCCCCATATCAAACTTTGTTTGAACTGAATTCCATATCCCTGGATTTTTATACATTTCACAGCATTTTTGTTTTTCTTTACATTTTTAAAACTGGTATTTATCGACTCATCTCTGAAAACTTTGCACTGTCTCAGTTCACTCGTTTGTGGAAAACTGGTGCCGTTTCACCTTGACATTACTTTTGTTCTCCACCTACCCACGCTCACTGTTCTCTGCGAGCGGTGTGCTGCAGAGTGAGGGGTCCCGAGGGCCGTCTGACAGGCTTCCCGCCACACGTGCTCATGGGACACTGCCTGACGCGCAGCCAGCTGGCTGCCCTCGGTGACAAGCCTGGTTTTGCTTTGCATAATCCCCTTGTTATTCCGAGTCTCTGACCTTCGAGGAGAATGGGGCCTGTGCTTACTGCACCGTGCTTACTGCACGACTTTTCACCTGTGCAGTTCACCTAAATGAATATATAATGAGGTACAGTTCATTAAAATGTTGCCTAGGTTTTGTAATGGAAACTTCCCTGCCTCTCTAAAGAATCTGCATCACCAGTGCGCCGGTTAAGCCTCTCTGTAGTCACGCTGCTCCTCCGTCCACAAGGTCGCCAAGCCTGCCCTCAGTGCTGTCAGAGGTGACCTCGAGTCCCGATGAGAATTTTGGATCCTCTTGGCCATTGCTGCATATTCCCCTTAGCTGTCCAGCATGATTACCACCTAAAGCGGGGGTTGGTGAACTTTTTCTGCCACGGTCCAGATGGTCGTTTCAGTTTATGGGTCATTTCTGCCACAAATATTCAACTCGTGGTGGTTGTGGAAAAGCAGCCAGTGTTGGTCCATGAAAGAATGGGCATGACTGTGTTCCAGTGAACATCCTCAGACCCCGGACACCCACCTGAAGCCCTGTGCTCGTTCACACACTTTACCTTGGCCTGAGTTAAAGCCCCGCAGAGCACTGAGGATTTGCAGAGCAGCCAGGCCTTGGAGTACGGGCAGGATGGGATTTCCGGGGATGAAAGTAAGTCATCCGTGGTGGCCTCAGAGAAGCCGCGGAGCCCCGAAGGATGAAGGACACATGATGGTAGGCCCACGAGTAGAAGAGTAAACCCACGTTTTTCCCTGGGGATCAGGGAGAGGGCCACCGTTGAGAGTGGAAATGTTGTGGAAAATGACTTAGGAGCACAGAGGTTTAGAGCTGCAGGGAACCTTGGCTTGCAAGTAAAGACACCAGAATCCTAACTGGAGTCCAGATCTCTGAGCTCCAGTTCAGTGGGTTTTCGCCTAGTCATTCCTGCTTTTTCTGTTAAAAAACAGAATTACTTACACTTTTCTTTGAAATACCTACAGAGGTAGATGTTAGAAAACGAGCCCTCCGTGGTATGAGGATTGCCTTTTGTTTTGAAGTACCTCATGTTTTTCTTTCCTGCTCTCATCATCTAGGTGGATAGCTTATGAAGGATCCAATTTCCTGGGAAGACAAATCCTGCTCGAGCCCAATGAGATCCCGAACTGGACAGCTTTTAGCGGGTGGAAGACAATTGGTTCCCTCCGTCCTATGAAGCAGGTAAGGAGAAAAGAACCATACCATCCAAAGTAGCTGTTTTCTAGTAGAAATGTCGTAAACCACAGCATCTGAAATAATGACCATTTCATTTAGGTTGCCATCTGTGTAGCAGGGGGAGTGGATTAGAATGGGAAATACAGATTTTAAACAATCCGTAAAATTGGAGTAGAGACTTCCAGCCAAGATGGAGGCGTAGGTGGAAATATTATACTTTTCCCCACAACCAAATTTAAGGACAACAGAGATTTAGAAACAAAAACACAACCAAAACAGACAGAAATTGAACTCTACTGAAGTCCGACAACAACAAACCATTCATCCAGACAGGTAACGGGCAGAGTCGGCGGCCGGCTAAAAGGAGTCCCGGCAGGAAAAGGCAGTGGTTAGCGGACCCAGGAGGGCACAAGGATGAAAACCCAGGAAGGCTTGCAAGGCAGCCAGCTGACCACAGACACACATTCACACACAGATAAACCAGGCAGGTTTAAAAACGGTCAGTTGGACCACACAATCCAGAGTCCCAGCAACAGGAAATAAAGCCTGAGCACTGACTGGAAAAACTTTCCAAAATTGAGGTGATGAGAGAGGTTCCCAGCCTCACAGGAGAGTCCACTGGGGAGACCCACAGGGTCCTAGAACATACAGAAGCCCACCCACCCGGGAACCAGCACCAGAAGGGCCCAGTTTATTGTGGGAAGCGTCAGAGGGGACGGAAATCTGAGAGAGAGAGGAACAAGCGCCATCACTCCCTCTGACCCCGCCCCCATATACAGCATCACAACCCAGTGACTTGGGTTTCCGCGCACTGGTGAACACCTAAGGCTCCGCCCCTCATACATAACAGGCACAAACAGACCAAAAGATTATGGCTCAAGCAGAAGAACAGCTCAAAACCCCAGAGCCAATACTTCTAAGCAACAAAGAGATGGCCAACCTATCAGATGCACAGTTCAAAACAATGGTGATCAGGATGCTCACAGAACTGGTTGATTTTAGTCACAAATTAGATGAAAAAATGAAGGCTACACTAAGTGAAATGAAGCAAAATGCACAAGGAACCAGTAATGATGGAAAGAAAACTGGGACTCAAATCAATGGAGTGGACCAGAAGGGAGAAACAACCAAGCAGAAAAGAATGAAGAAACAAGAATTCAAAAAAATGAGGAGAGGCTCAGGAACCTCCAGGACATCTTTAAACGCTCCAACATCCGAATTATAGGGGTACCAGAAGGGGAAGACGAAGAGCAACAAGTGGAAAACTTATTTGAACAAATAATAAAGGAGAATTTCCCCAGTCTGGCAAAGGACATAGACTTCCAGGAAATTCAGGAAGCTCAGAGAGTCCCAAAGAAGTTGGACCCAAGGAGGAACACACCAAGGCACATCATCATTACATTACCCAAGGTTAAAATGAGGGAGAGAAGTCTAGAAGCAGCAAGAGATAAGGGGACAGTTACCTACAAAGGAGTCCCATCAGACTGTCAGCTGATTTCTCAAAAGAGACCTTCCAGGCAAGAAGGGGCTGGAAAGTATTCCAACTCATGAAATCCAAAGACCTACATCCAAGATTGCTCTATCCAGCAAAGCTTTCATTTAGAATGGAAGGGCAGAAAAAGTGCTTTTCAGATAAGGTCAAATTCAAGGAGTTCATCATCACCAAGCCCTTATTATATGAAATGTTAAAGGGACTTATCTAAGAAAAAGAAGATAAATATATGAACAATGAAAAGACAGCAGACTCACAGTTATTAAGAACCACACCTAAAACAAAAGCAAACTAAGAGGACAGCTAGATCAGGAGCAGGAGCAGAACCATAGAAATGAAGATCACATGGAGGGTTAGCAGCAGGAGAGTAGGAGGAGAAATGGGGAAGAAGGTACAGAAAATAAGTAGCATAGACGGTAGGTAGAAAATAGATAGGGGGGAGGGTAAGAATAGTAGGGGAAATATAGAATCTAAAGAACTTGTGACACATGGACATGAACTGAAGGGGGGAATGGTAGGGGAGGAGGTGTGCAGGGTGGAGGGGAATGAAGGGGGGAATGGGACAACTGTAATGGCATAATCAATAAAACATTTAAGAAAAAGAAAAAAGTAAAAATAAACAGGTAAAATTTTTTAAAAAAACAAAAATTCATAAAATTGTATCTAAGGTCAATGTTGGGTTTTAGCTCTCAGTCCACAGTCTTGGTGACCATGTTCAGTTTTCATGGAGAAGGACGGTAGTAGAAGCTCTGTGGCAAGCAGTGGGAACAAGAGTGAACTCAGACTGCACTAGTTTCACTTCCTAAGGACTTAGATTTTTTCCTCCTACTCATGCAGTACTTAGCATGGATCCTGGCAATTTCATTAAAATCGTATTTACTGCACAGCCACTGCCCGTGTCCTGCGCCAGAGCCGCCCGCTGCACCCAGGACTCGGTCTGAACTCTTCAGCCTGTCGGCGGCGTGACCTGCGCCTGCTGCTTCCTCAGTCTGCGCTCCGCTCCTCCCTCACGTGGTGCTTCACAGGCGCCAGCATCTTGAGCACCGTCCGCTTGGGCTCCCAACACGGGCTCTTCCCTCCTCTTTTTGCCTGGCTACTACTTCTCTAAATTCATCTTACATGTCAGGTCTTCAAGGACGCCTCTTTCACCCTCTTTTCCTACCTAAGTCATATCCTGAAAGACCTGGTTCTTGGTCTGCAAGATGCTGCGTGTGGTTTGTAACCCTGTGGTATGGCCGAACTGCGTGCCTTCTCACTCTGCTGGGGGCCTCGTGAAGGCAGGGGCTGTGCCTAATCTGCTTACGCCCCTACCCTGGTGCCTGCACAGTGTAGGAGCGCAGGGACTATTTATTTAATAAATGGGATGAAAGTAAAAATGATGAACAAATGTCTGATATTATGCAAAGAATCGTGGAGGTTTACAGATAGAGATGATTTGGAGGCTGTAAAATATCCAACTCAAAACAGTAACCTAAAATGCAAAATAATGTGTGATCATCAAAAAGCCACAGGCAGTGTGCCCTGTTCGGAGCAGGGGAGGACGACTGTGCCGGGAGAGGCGGGGGGTTTCAGGGACCGGGGAGCCCAGGCTCGGCCGTGCGGTGCTCAGCGCACACGCCCTTTGTCTTTGCTCTCACCCCTTTAGAAACCCTCTCTTACTTGATTCCAACAACAGTTTTTTAAGGCTGGAGTTGTTATTCACCTTTTCTAGACAGAAAAATAGGGCTTGAGAGTTAAAGCAAGTTGGCCGAAGTCACCCAAGTGTCAGAACCAGGACTGGAACCTGAACTGATTGTGCTCTAAGACCTGTGTTCCTAGGCCGCCGCGCGCTGTCTTCCTCCAACACGAGGTCTGTGTTTAGGGGGCGGCGCCCTGTGGTCCCGGCGCTGCGCCCAGTGCTGCCGGGTGGACCGAAGTGCTGAGGCCCCTGTGCTCAGATCTGACACACTAAGTGTTCAGTTGGTGACGGCCGAAAAAACTAACCTGAGCGGTCTTGCTGTACCTCTGCCTGCTCCCCCCCCCCCCCACACACACAGACACACACGTTCATTCCCACCCGTCTGGCTCTGTTGGTTCAGACCCCAGCTCTGTCACCTGTAAGTGGTGTGGCTTTGAGTGAGTTGTGTCACCTCATTTCTCGGCACCTCGGAATCCTCCCTGGTGAAACAGCAACTGCATTGCTTACCAGCTTGTGAGGATTAAGTAGGACAATATTTGCAAAGAGCCTGACACAACCTCTGGGCCATATTACGTGTGACACATTTATTTTGAAAGTATTATTTACGATGTCCCTGGAGAGAGTCAGAGATGCTCTCCAGAGAGATAGTAGGTAGACATCAGCGGGCTTTCCTGGCAAAGAGCACGCGGTGCAGGATTTCATGAGCTTCACATCTTGCTTGTTCCTCACTCCCGGCACAGGGCATGATGGGCCATCCCACTGAAAAGCCGTGGGAAAAGGCAAGACAGAGGTGGGAGTTCCCCGCAGCTTTTACCAACCACACAACGATGTTTAATCTTACGTAGCAGAAAACTGGAGAATATTTCCCTCACTTTTGAAAGGTGGTTTCTTGCTAAAGAAGGATGTCTCTGCCCATTGTTCAGGGTCCTGAGATTAAAAAATAGCTAGAGTAGCCATGGCTGGTGTGGCTCAGTTGGTTGAAGCATCATCCTATACACCAAAAGGTCATGGGTTCAATTCCCTGTCCCGTTCCCAGTCAGGGAACCTGGGAGAGGCAACCAGTTGATGTCTCTCTCTCACTCTGTGTGTGTGTGTGTGTGTGTGTGTGTGTGTGTGTGCATGTTGTGTCTGTCTCCCTCTCCCCCTCCCCCTTCCTCTTTCTAAAAGCAATGAAAAAATGTCCCTGGTGAGGATTAAAAAAAAAGATAGCTAGAACAATAGCCTCTAATTTTACATAGACATTTGTTGACAATTAGCATTGTATGTGTTTATTCTTGCAGTGTGCTTTAGGAATTACCTGATTCCTATTCTGGTTAAAATTTTAATTTTGAAATAGTATTTTAACTATTTAACTGTTGCTCATTTAGGGCACAACTTTGAAAGCCAGCAAAGGAATTCTGGGTTTCTAAAACAGTGTTATAGGTCATATTGTCTTTTTTAGTAAGGCTTTAGTTCATATTCTTGTCTAGAAATTTAGGAATAATTAAAACGTGGTTCTCTATGAGGTTGGGAATTGGGAAGTCACTAAGGCAATTATAATGCATATCAGTGTTTTGAAGTATAATCACAGAGGAGTCAGACTACAAGTGTGTAATAAGGGTTAATTAGTGCCTTACTGGAGTTAATGGTTAAAATTGATGTGTGTTCCTAACATAAGTTCCTAAAACTCTGTCCTCTGTGAAGGTCCTGCCTGTTGTCTCACACGTGCAAGGTAAGAAAACTGCAGTAAAGATACACTAAAGGCTGCCCTGGCCAGTGTGGCTCGGTTGGAGCATCATCCCCTACACTGAAAGGTTGCAGGTTCAGTTCCTGGTCAGGGCACCTGCCGAGGTAGCAGGCTGTCCCTGGTGTGGATGAGCCTGGAAGGCAGCCGGTCAGTGCTTCTCTCTCACCTTGGTGTTTCTTTCTCCCTTCCTCTCTCCGGAAGCAGTGAAAAAATGTTCTCGGGTGAGGAATGAAGGAATGAATGAGTGTTTTTTAAAAAATATACTGAAGCCTCAAGAATTAATCATTGCAGTGGGAGACCAGGCTGGATTATAGAAATTTAAATACATTACTGTTGGATGATGAATGTGGAAGTTGTGGTTTGAAACGATCAAAACGTTTTGCTTTTAAATGACCAGGTAACAGCTTGTCCATTTCCTTAAGTGTTCAGAGTGTTTATTTCCTTAGGAAGGCTAAACATGGTAGCAATTTACCAAAATTCAAGTGTCCTCTTGTTGTTCTGTCATAAACTTCAAAGTAGAATAGTCTTTGTTGGTCTTATCATGATACCTTGCTACATTTACCTAGAACTTACACCTCTCAGAATGGAAGTCCTTCCTTATTTAACAGACCATTTATTATTGTTTAGCAAGGTTCTAACTGAGATTCCAACACCTGACCCAAGATGGGGGTGGAGTGTCCCGAGGCTTTACTGCATGAAGACTGGAGGCCAAGCCCCGGGACGGAACGAACGTGTGTGTGTGGCGCTTCAGTCACGTGCTGTCCTCCGTCATCCCACCGGCTGGCACGTTGGGAACTGGTCCCGTGCGCCCTGTGCCTAAGAGCAGTGAGCGCTTTTCGGAGCAGGTTTTACTAGGGCCTCCTGGGTGTGTGAGGGAGGGTTGCGGTGCTTCTCCACAGCCACGTCACCCTTATTTATACAACTCGGGCCGTAACTGTACGTTCTTAAAGGGTTGTTCTGATTGTCAATTCTGGCAGCTAATACAGGAGCCCAGAAAGCATTTAGTCTATTGACACATACTAAGCTTCTCATATTAGCTGTTAGCCTCACAGACAAGTCCTATATTTAATATTCTATTTTAAAACTTTCCAGGTCCTAGGGATGAAATACTTTGCCACCCTATTACCCACCCTATTACTTTTGAATAGTGAGTAAGTGTGCAAGGTCTCTTTCTCAAAAGTGTAGAGGTCAACAAAGTATGAATGTAAACACGGAGACTACCCCGGCTCCTGGGGGCCTCGGCTCCCTGGGTCTGTGGAGACCTCCCACGGCAGTTGTGTAGCACTTGGTCCTGGTTTGGGAACTTGGTCCTGGCTCAGGACGGCATGTGTGATTGTTGTGCTGAGTCACACATACTGTCTGACTGTATGACCCTTGTAGGCAGCCCCTGGCTATGATTCTTCACCACCCTGGGATTCTAGTGAATGAAAGGTATTACCTTTAATCTTCCAAAGGACATGTCTCTCTCTAAAAAATGTAAGAGATTGTTCAATTTCAGCTTTGTGCTCCAAGGATTGTGGCAATAGAAAATATTGATTTATAAATATTGGCTGAAGGGGCCAAGTGAAACTGATGTAAATAAATTCCATCACTGCTCCTTCCCCTCCAAGCTTTTCCTCTTTGGAAGGACTGATTTCCAGATTCGGCAGGTTTTCTCTGTGCCTGTGTTTCTCCCCATCACAGCCTGCAGTCTACATCAGGATAAGGAACCGAGCCCAGAAGGAGTATCTGACGGTCACTGGGAATACGACGGACACAAGGGCGACATCTGTGTGCGTCTCTCCCTACAGCGGGAAGAACTCCCAGATCTGGCACTACTGCCGCGGACTCTTCAAATCCAAGGTGACCAGGCCCTCTGACACCACGCCCCGCTTTTTGGTTTGAGGTGCTTTCTTTTGGAAACCAGAATCTCTCCAAATCACATGGCATGACAAAATAATGTAACTTCCTACATACAGTTTCATGATTATAGAAGTTCTGCTATTTATATGCTAAAGCATGTAAGTGAACTGGACTTAGTTTTTTTGATCTAGAAAATTCCATTTATTTTAAAGTAAAAACTAAGCTGATCACATACTATGGATCTGCATAAATGATTTGCTCAAACTGATGACAAAAGCCCCGGGGGAGCCCCACTGGACAGCGTGCTCTGCAGGTGAGATTCCCTTTCACGGCCCAGGTGAAATCTGCCACCTTTGTGCTTCTGAATGTGGTGAAACTTGCTCATTTTCAAAATGTACAGCAAAGTAATTACAAAGGCAGGAGCTGAATTGGAGAAAGCCAGACAATAAATTTTAGGTTTCTGTGACTCCATTGTGTTTGATGCTATGGGGAGCAGAATTAAAATTTTAAAACATTACAAGTGTTTTATTGTTTTACCAATGGCTTACCCACTTTTTTCTCATGCTTCAACAAAAATGAAAAGCATTAAAGAAAACTAAGCTCAACCTAATACACTTAAGCTAACAGGGACTTAACATTTCATTCCAATTCAGCACACGTTTAGTGAACATCTGTTGTCAGAAGTAGGCATCCTTTTAAAAACAGGCACCTCTATTTCAGGTTTATTTCTGTGCCATTTGCTCCCCTCAGCCACAAAGATGACTTTTTTTTAATTTATTGATTTTAATTGTTCAAGTAGAGTTTTCTGTCTTTTACTCCCATCCCAGCCCCCGCCCTCTAGTGCTCCCCACCTCCCTCCCATCTCCACCCCTGTTATTCTTTGTCCATGTGTCCTTTATACTTGTGCCTATAAACCCTTCTTCCCCTTTTCCCCTGAAATTCCCTCCCCTCTCCTCTCTGGTCCCTGTCAGCCTGTTCTCTATTTCAGTGTCTTTGGTTATATTTTGCTTGCTTGTTTTGTTGTTTAAGTTCCTGTTAAAGACGACTTTTTAAAAGCTAAGATTATGCTGCTAGTATTCCTTTTAAAGACGCAGTCACTTAACGTCTAGTTTTCATTCACAGGAAAGAAAATCGCCTGAGGGGGGTTCTTCCTCCCCGAAGCCGCAGCCTCTCCCTCCCAAAGGCTCTGCCTTTGTCTCCCCTGAGCGACAAGGGCCCTTCTTTTTCTTCTGTAACCTGTTTCCGGAGCCTTTTTGGCCCAGCTGCTGACTTCTACCTCTGTAACTTTCTAAACTTTTATCTAATCTGAAAGGAAAGGAAGTGGGCCCAATTCAACTGATTTTAGCAAACACAGTACTACCAATGTGTTTCTTAACCCTTTTAGGCCACCGATACCTGTCTGGACGTGATTGGTGGCCGGGACACGCCCGGAGCTAAAGTGGCCCTGTGGCCTGAACACGGGCAGTACAGGCAGAAGTGGAGACTGAACAGAAATGGAACCATCGGCTCCTATCTCAGCGACCAGCTTGTCCTGGATGTCACAGGTGGGCCCGCGATGAGACCCAGGGTTGTTTCTGGATGCCACTTTAAGTTCTAAACCTCCTTCTCCTGGGTGAAAGAAATCTTTGTGTGTAAGAGAAACATTAAGTCACTTTAAATTACGTGCGAAAAAAGTTAAGATGTGCTGTTTTACCAAAAACAATTAGCTATGTGGATCAAGCAGGAAAAGGCTAAAGACAGTCTAAAAAGGCTTTTTGTTCATTAGTATCGTCGTAAAATTATTTGTTCATCCTGTGATCTTAGTGAACGATTTTAAATTTGAACATCAAACCATGAAATACCATGTTTCTTAGAAAGGAATGCCTCTCTTTGCTGTGAATTGCTATGGTCCATAAAAGCCCTCAGTTAAAACTTACGGTAGGTATTTAGCCTTGGTTTTTAACCCAGCAAGGTCGGGGCCAGGATTATTCCGGGGCCCAGGATTAACTGGGTCGGTCACAGCCACCGTTGGTGCAGCAGCAGAACCACAGAACATGACAACAAGCGGAGCCCCGGAGCCCTCCGTGCTGAGCCGCGCACTGCTGATGCCCTCGTCTAGTTTACTTCTTTGTTCTTCCATTTGAGGCGCAGGATCCTCCTATTTGAGGTGAATGGTGGCTAAGCCTGTTGAACCTCAGTTTCCCATTTCGGACTGCTTTATAAATGACATGCTAATCTGCCCGAACAGCAGGCTGAACAAAGCTTGTAAAAACTATTAAGCATCTGTGTGAACAAATAATCTTTTCTTTTACAATTTCTACTTCAGGAGGAAATTATTATGACAAGACACATGTAATTGTAAATCAGCCCCTGGAGGGAGAAGAAACACAGAAATGGGACATTGAAATATTGTGAGAGAATCGGCAGCATCCCTGGAAAGAGCAAAGGAGGAAGGCACCCCACGACCCTCGTCGGGGAAGCCGCTTGTCCTTGGGCTCCCGGATCACTGAGAATGAACCCTTCCCGGACTGTTAGTGTTCACCCCGGGAAGGCTCCGATGCTCTCCCGATTCCTCAGCGGTCCTGTGAGGAGTAAACTGTGACTTCTAGGAAAGGTTCTCTTCCTCTTTGATCTCCAGTTTGGGTAAGCGGGCTTCCTGAAGTGTGTCTCTCTCCTAGCTACCAAATGCGGTCCCTGTCCCCGACGGCCACCGCTGAGGACACTGGTGGGGCTGGCGTCCTGCAGGAGCCGTGCCCATCCAGCAGCGCATGTGAGTGCAGGGTGCAGGGAAATAGATTCCTGCGGGCCAAGTCTTACTCGTGTGAAGATATATTTAATAAACCTTCCTGTTAAGCTGCTACATTAGCTAAACCTTAAAAGTTTTCTGTTGAGGCTTTTATAACTGAAGCATTGTAAGTCTTCATCCTTGTAACCAACCCCAGGGAGGGACCTCAGCTTTACTAGGAAAAAGGCTCAAATACTGGAGTATCTCCTGCAGCTGTTCTTTGCTCAGTCTTCAAACTGAAAAAGCACAAATACCCCGTGACCCTGCTTGCGCTCTAAGTAGCAAAGTCGCCCTTCTGGGCCCCAGGACTCTCACCAGTGCTTACCCAGCCCGGTGCTGAGACCTCAGCCTGGATTTTGCCTGATCTGCCCTCAAGAAGTTATTTATAAAGATTGTGTCACCTTTGTATAAGATAGTCAAATTTTTCCTTGTGTCAAGTAAACAAGTTTCAAATGTTCAAATTAAAGCCAAGTGTTTTGAGACTTAACTATACCATTTTACTCTATGTAATGTAAAAGTGCTTATTTTTCTGTGAAATGAAAGAAAACTCAGTTTTTCACTCCCATTTTAAATACCTTCTATTTAAGCAAAATCAGATAGGATACCATCTTGAACTCAATTTCATCACTACCACTTGAACTAAACAACTTGCAAGCATTTCTCCCTCCTGAGTTGGTTTTAAACTGACAGACAACTGTTCCCTTCTTCCCCAACTTTTGACAGAAAGGAGAAAAGGTTGGTTCTATTCAACTTTTATATAGAAAGATTAAGTTCTCCAATGGTATTTTTTAAAATATCAACCTACATGCACTTTAGAATGTAAAATAAGAGTGAACTGTTTAAACTCAAAGACCCACTATTTTGAGTAATTTTTTACAGAGACTTGGTCTTTCCGTGTAAACACTGAGTTGCTTTTTCCTTTGATCTCAGGTTGTCACATTTCAAGCAGCGTCTCTAAAACCCCCTTACACCCACCGATAGGCGTGCCTCTCCGTAGTGTGGCAGTATTATTTCATGGAAATTGCAAGGGTATCTTTATTTTAAAGGGGGTGCTTGTGTGAACAGAAAGGTATGTATACTGGCATTGCGAAAGTCCAAGTTAAAATTTTTTCCTTCATGTTAATTGTTTAAATTTTTTCTGGAGCCAATGAGGCTCTTTAAAGAAGTTACTTCCAAAGAACAAAGACAGATAACAATTCTTAAATTTAAATGATACATTGTAGTTGTGCCTTTTCTACCACACTGGATTAAATAAACTTGTCAAAGTATGGTTTTGTCACTTTCTAGACACCCCGTAACCTGCTGTTCTTTCTCTCCCACTGCCTCTGCTAGTGCATGCGGCCAGGTGGGCCTCAGCTTATCAGACACACACAGGCAGAGTCGCACGTAACCACTCCTCCAACCCCGCCTGCTGACGCAGGCCGAAGGGGGCTCCCTGGCACTAGACTACCTGGATTAAACATTCCGTCCAGAGGGCTAGTGCCAGGCCTGCCTTCTGCTCGTCCGTAGGAAGTTTCAGGTCCTTGACAGAAACAGGCGAATTGTTCCAAATTTGCTTCAGCGCATCCACGTGAGACAAAGGAAAGCGAAGTCCATGAGACTGAAAAAGGATAAGCAAGTCAGATAAAATACAACTTGTCTCTGAAATGGCATTTTCATATAAACTTCCAAAATTCTCAGTACATCATTATTTTTGATTCCCTTCACAAATGCGAAGCTTGTTCCAGATAGGCGAGGTTCTTATCTACATAAAGTATGAGATAATGTATAGAACTTGCCAATTCCCATATGAAAACAGACTTCATAAAAACATGCTAACATAAATGCTTCCCATTACATTACACCTTTCCTACAAGCCTACACATCGCAGCTAGTACCTTTTAAAGCTGGTCTGCGTGTGTGTGTATCTCAGAACTGTCTGACTCCATCCTCCCCGTGCGAGGGCTCTATCAGCTGCATGACATGTTAAGCCCAGTCATAAAAAAGCACGTTACCCACAAACCGAAGGTGACAGATTCTCCCAGCCACCACTAAATCACAGGAGGAACAAACCTCTGTGTCCTCACTTCCCATCATGTGTGTCTCTCTCCTATTCTGTAAGGAATGATAGACGAAAACCATGTTTTCTTCAGCTTCATCCTTAAAAAAAAAAAAGCATTAAATCATCAATAGAATGTCAAGGGCTTCATGACTAGGAAGGTTTTCCAATAACATAGGTCACTACCAAGGGAAAAAAGCCTTGGTGCTTACGTGGTATTTATTGAATACTGTAAAGAATCTTTTGGCAAAAAGTTACGATATATGCATGTTATTTCATGATAGTCCTATGTGTACAGCAAATCATGGGTACAAAGAGTATGACTGCTACAGCATCTTCAGAAACGTGATTCAATGAAAAAGCAACAATATTTATACAGAACTTAACAAAACATTCAGGTTTCTTTTTTAATCACACCTGTACTTTTTTGCATCAAAATTTTGACATCATATAGAAATTAAAACCGTATGAGTGCCATGCAGTGAGTGTGACCGTGTTTTGCTGTGTTTTGTGCGCATCAGACACAGGAATATCATGCCCATTATTAGATCCATGGTATGTAATCATTACACCCACACACAGGATGGGTGTGAGGCACATCCTTTATTTTCCCTCAAAAATCTGGGCAAAAAAGTGCACATTACACATGGCAAAATACTGCACCTGTTGAGAAATGCCAGCTGTGTGATCGCCACTCACAGCAGCCTCCAAACGGTCCCCTGCCCGCCCTCCTCCACCCCACACAGTGCAGCTTCTCCCCCAGAGCGGCAGTCCTCCCTCACCACCTCTCAGACAAGAGTCCCACGCCCTGGCTTGACAGGGAGCATCCCCGAACTGACTGGTTACTGGAGCAACTGGGGTTTTTCTTTAAATGAAGGTGTGTACTTTTGAGGTTCTGTATATATTAGAAACCAGTCCTCTGCAGGTCCCGTCCTGGTGGCAGGTTTCAGAGACAGCTAGGTGCCCCTCTCACGCCCTGAGTCAGTCAGGGCTGGGCTCCTCCTCCCAAGAAAGCTGAAGAGGAGGAACAGGGTAAAGCCATAGGGCATGGGGTAGCTCCAAAGGTTGTCAGGGTTGTACAGGAGATTTAACAACAAAGGCAGAGGCTCTAACCCAGACCAGATAAAGCCTAGGAATTCATAATCCTTAATAAAAGTTTTCCAGCTGATTCTATGATCAGCCAGTTTGGGGAACTAGTGGGCCAGGATATGGAAAGTAGAATATCTTTCCACGAGATAGAGATTTTTTTTTAAGAACATCAACAAAACCATACATAAGCCCTGGCTGGCATAGCTCAGTGGATTGAGCATGGGGCCTGAGAACCAAAAGATTGCAGTTTGATTCCCAGTCAGGGCACATGCCTGGGTTGCAGGCCAGTTCCCAGCAGGGGACGCATGAGAGGCAACCATACATTGATATTTCTCTCCCTCCCTCCTCTCCTTCCCCTCTAAAGATAAATAAAATATTAAGAAAAAGCCTTTAAAAAAAACCAACATAAAGACAGGTCTGCACAGTGTAGAGGACAAGAGAGGGACTGAGCCAGGGAGACGCATGAACAAGGTCTGCAGCTGTCGAGCAATACGGCCTGAAACCTGGTTGGGAGGCACAGACCAGACGTCAATCACTGCAGGAGGGGAGTGGAAAGGGTTCTGTGGGAGGCGAGGGCAAGCCCTCAAACGCCCAACGGGCAAGAAAATGGGAACAGTGAGGGTTGGGCATTGTCTGCTCTGAAGTAATGGCGCTGAGCTGTGAGAACAGATGGATCCCCAGGAGAGAAGGTCAGGGGCCATCTGTTAGTCGGGTAACCTGAGTTGGAAGTGCCCTGAGAAGGGAGGAAATCTCTTCCCCTCTGATACTCACAGATCCATCCTGATCTGGCTTCACTGTGAGGACAGTGTGGTCCTTAAACTGCAGCTTCACTACGCTGTCCAACCTGGGCGGCTGTCCACCTAGAAAATCCCGAGATAGAAGCCGGTTTACAGAAGAGGAAACCAGCAGGATCCGACTTCTTCGCAGGTGGAACTATTTCAGGAGCACATTCACCAACAATCTGCAGTGAATCCAAACGTGGATGCCCTCTCCAACTCGGGTATTTGCTTGCCCTGACATTTACAGTGACGCTACAGTTTACCTCTTGTGCAGCCCATTCTCATAGTGAACAGGGACAGTAAGATAACGACAGGAGTTGGTAAGTACATTAAACAGACGTAAGCGGCCCTGGCTGGTGTGGCTGCGCTGGAGCACCGTCCCGTAGACCAAAGAGCTGCAGGTTTGATCCCTGGTCAGGGTGCATACAAGAGGGCAACCAATCGATACGGATGTCGATGTGTGCATCTCTCTCTCTTGCCCCTGCCATTCCTCTTTCTAAAAGCAATGAAGAACTCTGTTCAGGTGAGGATTTAAAAAAAAAAAAAGAAGCCCTGGCTGGTGTAGCTCAGTGGATTGAGCACGGGCCTGCGAACCAGACAATTGCGGTTCGATTCCCAGTCAGGGCACATGCCTGGGTTGCAGGCCGGTTCCCTGAAAGCCAGTTCCCAGCAGGGGATGCACGAAAGGCAACCATACATTGATGTTTCTCTCCCTCTCTCCTTCCCTTCCCCTCTAAAGATAAATAAAATTTGTAAAAATATATATATATTTAAAAAAACACTAAAAAAAAAAAGAGACTTACTAGCACGGAAGCCCAGTAGCTATCACAAGAGACAGGCCCCTGCCCTGCTGCATAGAACACTCCCGTCCCGGTCTCAGTCTGGATCCCCTATTGCTCCTTACTTTGCACGTGGACTAGAGAGGGAATACCTGAGTTCAAACGGTACCACCCACCAATTATGAGCTGCGCGACCACGGCAAATGATTCAGTCTGTGTAGGTCAAGCAGAGTGTCAGATAAAAGCCACCTCGTAACAGTCACAGGGAAAAACACTTTTCTGAGTTGAATTTAACTTCGTGAAACAGCAGCCACTACAGACAGTAGTGTTATCTGGTTGGGAAAAGGGTCTTAAGGGATCATAGCTTTATTGACTATAACAACTAAGATGGAAAACCTTAGAAAAATATTCTGGACCATTAAATGATAATCAGAAAAAACTGTTCTGTATAAGAATTAAAATATGTGCTGATAAAACATTTGCTGTTTTAAATAGGTGCAATCAAAAACAAATCTTAACTTTCCCCCAAAGACATAATAAAAATGTAAATAGAATCAATGTTAGAAAAGACCTTATAGGTTGCTTATTCTAGTGGTTCTCAACTGGTGATAAATAAGGCTTTTATAAAAGTAGTAAAAGTAATGCCCTCAACTCAACCCAACTGGGAAAGAGAAAAGCGGTCTGAAGCTGGGCCTGGACTCGCAGCTGTCCCTGTGTGTTCTGCAGAACACTAGTCAGCTCCACGGAGACTAGCGTTAGTTAACACATGGGAACAAGCCCACTCCTTAATCACATCAGAATTCAGGCAAAAGATCCTCCGAACTGCAAACGTGACCGATCAGTCACCAGATGGAGCCCAGATCCTGGACGTCCTTTCCAACACCGTTTCCTACGATGCCCCACGGTGCCCAGTGGGTGTGTGGTCCTCTACACTGTAACAGTCGATAAACCCGACTCTGGCCACAGGAGTGGGTGCTGCTGGCCTTTGCTACAGGACAGCAGAATCACCACCTACCAGGAGCGTTATGTCATTTGCAGCCTATACCTGTCACAAAATAGCCACGTGGGACCTGGGAAAGGCCAGAGGAAACCTTGGGCATTCTCATATTTCACCTGTTGATGGCAACATTTCACCCATCCCTGAGTTAATTCCAACAAGATTATCTCCAAGTTCAAGTTCTTAAAACATCCTGAAGATGATGAACACCAGAAGACCTATAAATACACATATTTCTCACCCAGAATTACCAAGCTCTCACTCCCCATCACGCTGGGATGCGATGCCTTTGCGAATGACTTGTGAGGTGCAGGATGCCGACGTGTGTGTACAGCATGTGCTGTCCAACCACAACACAGATCTAGCTCCGCGTTAACTCTACATGCTTCCACCTTTCATCTGCTCACAGAGGGGCCCCCTAGGAAAGCCTCCAAATATCCCCCACAGGCCCCAAACCAACAAGAAGAAAACAGCAAGCCGCACCTGGAGTTGCAAGTTCTGCTCCGTCTCCCACATAGTACGGTGGGAGTCTGTTCATAACAAAATCCTTCTTCATGTCTGATGAAAGCAGCTTGTTAGTGCCTTCCAGACGGTTTGCAAGCGTCCTCAAAAAGCCACTTAGTCTTCTTACGGCAACAGGTGTGGTTTCCACCTGCTGAAGACACAGCGGGGAGTGAGTCCGGGCTCAGACTCCAGCAGAACTCACTGCCGGGGTCCCAGTCTCCAGCAGCCCCTGGGTTGGGTGAGGGAGGGAGACCAGAGCCCCTAAGGACAATATCACATTACTTCCTTGTAACCCCCTGTTCATCTTAAGCTGCCTGTTATTTGGGGGTAAAAAAATTAATTTTCAGGATTTTGTCCAGAAAGAGATCCCTGGAAACATACAATCCCAGCTCCTGCATTTTGGAAAGCAAGTTCCTAACCAAAGGCCACTGCTTCAGGCAATGAAAGCAACCACTGCCCAATTCACCAATTCACTCATTTTCTCAAATCCAGCCAAACAGTGCCGTTATTTCTGATGTAAAACCAGAAGCTGGGGGAACCAAGAAGGCCACGCTCTCCGGTGGGTCTCTAACTAGTAATCTAGTGAGACAGTCCTCGCTGCCACACTGTCTATGCACCGTTCGCTCAGCCAACATTTTCCACAGGGCCTGTTACACCACCGCAAAGCACGGACAGACTGCGCGTGCGCAGCCCCGTGTGCTCTCGGGGGGGTCACGTGCAGCACCCGATTCACTCTGCAAACCCTCCAGCTCTGCAGGATCCGCACGAGAAGATGGCTCATGCGAGAGAAAGGACCCTGCGGTCCTTAGGGTGTCAGCTACAGCCTTGGCGAACCAGGCTGCAAACCCCACTCCTTCCACACCGGCCTTGACCCCTTACCAGGAGCAGCTGCCGGGGGATGCCGGCCCGGAACGCGAGGTTTTCCTTCGTGGTATCAAACACAAGCCCCGAAATGGTGTCCAAAAGGAAATCTCCCCATGAACTGTGACACGAACCAGCAACAACAAAAAAACAGGGAACACACACAAAACATACAGAACACACTGATTACTAGTAAATCAAACACTATGGAAGCTTCCACTGTACTCCCGTTCCCCTGCCCAGGCGTTGGAGCTCACTGAGTCGGGCGTCTGTAAGCCCAGGGAGGCCGGGCTTTAGTCCTACTGCTCCTCCCCCCCCCACACCCTCCCACCTCCGCGGAAAGTTAAAGGTGGGAAGCCAGGCTTTATTCATGATTTCTCAAGATACCAGGGAACTAAATGTGCACTGTCATAAAGTAGAAAGTTTAAGGTTTTTAAACCAAATTTTTTCATGTTTTTAACTATAACGAGTGTTGGTGAGGAGAGCTTTGTAGCAAATTTTAGCACTCCATCATTATAGGACCAAAAAACAAATTTTATGTGCAAAAACTCCAAAAGTTACATGTTTAGGGTAACAGCAAGGTCCCTGGCCTGTGTAATTATCTGCAGTTACCCATTACAGTTTCCTTTGTCCCTTAAAAAATACTGGCACTCTTCCTCTACAAAATACCTGTCCACATTAATTTCAACAGAATTGATCTTGCAACTGGTTAAACTCTAGCAATGACTTTGCTGGAGTAGAAAATAGAAGCCAGTGGCCAAAAATAGCACCTAGGGAGGCAACTCAGTGTTCAATTACCTTTGCTTTCTTAGAACTGGCTGGCTCCTGAAAGTGCCTGTGAGAGAGACACTTTGCCGGGGGAGGGGGCTCTCTTTAAACATTTCTTAGCTGTTTAAAATTTTTTCTCTGTGTCACCAGCAGATTTCAAATCACTAGCTATATCCAAAATGGAAATTCACAGTATGACTTTTGCTTCTCGCTCAGCAAGCAAAATTAACATGTTTATACTTCCTTCCCAGACAAATGGCGAAGGAGGAGAAAAGCCATTATGAGAGCACTTTCCCCAAGACATCCACTACTGCCTGGTGGCCTCACCACTTTGCAATCTCACATCTTTGATTGAACTTCAACCTGGAGGACACATTCGGAGCTTTCAGCAGCACAAAATAAGCTCCGCCTCCACAGGGCACAGGTGGGAGCCACCACACAGCAGTAGCTGTGGGAGGGGGCAGGGGATTTAATTGCAGTCAAACAGAGCTCTGTGCTTTTCTGAGAATCAGCATGGACCTTGGGCCTTTCCAAAATGGGAATAACACCTCTTACGCCAGGGTTCACTTTGGCAGAACAGCCAGAGCCCTGGTGCTGTCCCACACAGGCCCCAAATGTTCCAACACGCTACCCTAAAGCGGTATTAGGAAGAGGCCGTGAGGAGGACCAGGACCAAGCGCAGGGACATCTCCAGGGTGTGGTGGTCCTCGAGCTACACTGTTCCCATTCCAGTTCCAGCACCACTGACACAGGCCACACAGTCCAGCCAGGACACTGCTCACGGTGCCATAACTTAGTGCCATATTTGTGAGACAAATTCTGATGTTAAGCAAAAGTTCTACAAGTTTTTTCCCTTGTGAAGTGTTAATATACACTTAAGTAAGTATTCTTGCAGTATACTCCCAGGTTCTTGTAGTTTAAAATTTGTATGCTGAACTTTAGAAACAGTATTACTAGATGAGTCTATCCTTTAGTGTTTAGCTCAGGAGTGACAGACAATATGTGCAGAGGCAGTGCTATGCAGTACATGGTCAGCAGGGGCTCTTCCCCAGCCCCGCTGACCAGAGAAGGGGTGGGTGGGACCCAGGGGCAGGCTACCCAGTCTTCATTCTTGGGATTGGGAAACAGTGAGTCAGGTACCTCCAGAAGCAAAAGCTAATGAGTTCAATGAGGTAGAGGGAGGTGGAGAGGTAATGATGGCTTATGATGAGCCAGTGTTGTAAGTAAACAGAAGCTGCATATGGAAAACAAAGGGAGAGCCCAGACTGGTGTGGCTCAGTGGGCTGGGCGTCACCCTGCAAGGTGAAAGGTCAGCGGTTCAATCCCCAGTCGGGGCACATGCCTGGGATGCTGCAGGTTATGGTCCTCGGTTAGGGTGCATTTGAGAGGCAACCAATCAATGTTCCTGTCTCACATCAAGGTCTCTTACCTTCTCCCTCCCTTCCCGTCTCTCTAAAAATAAAGTCTTAAAAAAAAAAAAAGCAAGGGAGAGAAAGCCAATGACAGTTGGTGGTAATAAGAGATGAAAAGACAAGAGAATCTGGGAAAGGAGACGTGGCTGAGGAACATCAACAGCGGGACACAGAAGATGTGTTCGTGGGCCAAACTGCACGGCTGCGAAGGCCCAGGGCTGCTCTGGATTCAGAATGGACTTCTGGTTGCAGTCTCCCTGGGGCCTGCCCTGTTCCAGTTGCTACGACCCACTCCCCCAATTGCCCCTGTTCCTTCTGGGGTGGTCTTGGTGACTTTCCACTGCTCGCTATGCAAGGAACCGAAACACAATGCCAAGGGCATTTTTCATAAGGGAAGCCCAACGTGAGCTTTGGCCCTCTCCTTGTGTGTGGGCAAAGGCAGCCCCGACCTCGGGCCAGGCTCCAGCAGGTTCCTCCAGTCTCTTAAACACCAGGGTTAATTTCACACTGCAAAGCCAGATGAGGAGGCATAAGTATGCTTACAAACTCGTTCTGCAAGTTCCAGCTTGGAAGGTAGGAGACTTGCTGTCCCTTGGGCTGGGCTGTCCTCTCCCACTCTGACGTTCTGACCCACCTTCTGATTCGTCCCGTAAGTCTCAGCTTGGGAGTTAAGTCATTTCTGAAGCCTTCCCTGAAACCCCTGCTTTGCTTGGTGCCTTCCTCTATACCCCAAGTCTCCTCTGCAAACCTGTGAAGGAACTTATCACAGCTTGGTAACCACTGGCATGCCTATCCCCTCCTACCACCACCTCCAGGGTGTAAGTTCTCTCAACGCCCCTTCCCTGCAGTGCCTGCACTCCCAGGAAAAGCGAGCACAGGGCCTGATGCCCACATGCTGAGTAAACTGATCTCTGGTGTTCTTCATGAGTTGTGAACTCACAAGGCTGCTGTGTGAGGAAATCATTCACAAGGCGCTCCCACCCCGGCCCCGTTCCGTGACAAGGCACCTGCCAAAATAGACACGGTTGTAACTGGAACCGCTTTCGGCACATGTGCTTTCAGACGACCTTCCTTGCTTTAGGTTCATGAACTATAAAAGGTGGAAACCTTCTCAGAGACCCAGAGGTTTCAATGGTGACACAGCCTCTGTGTGGGGCGATGGAGACGTTTTAGAACCAGACGGCAAAACAGTCTGAATGCAATTAATGTCCTCCCACTATACACTTAAAAATCGATAAAATGGCATATTCTGTGCTATACAGAGCAGGGCAAAAGTAGGTTTACAGTGTTCGTATGGAAAAAGACACACCGGTTATGATTATTACAATAGCGTTATGATTATTACAACAGCATATTCACAACTGTAAACCTACTTCTTTTTTTAAAAGAATGGGTTTTTTTAAATCCTCACCTGAAAGTAGGTTTCTTGATTTTAGAGAGCAAGAAAGAGACGGAGGGGCCAGCAGAGGTGGGGAAACGGTGGGGGAAGAGAGAGAGGAAAGAACAGCGACTGGCTGCCTTCTGTATGAGCCCCGACCAGGAACCAAACCCGCAACCTAGGCATGTGCCCTGACCAGGGATTGAACCTGCAGCCTTTTGGTGGAGGGGACTATGCTCCAGCCAACTAAGCCACCCTGCCAGAGCTAACCCTGCTTTTGACCACCCCTGTCTGTATTTTATCACAATAAAAATAATTTAAAAACAAAGGAACAGACAGACACATATACACCATAAGCCCAACCTGACATGACTGACAGGCAGCCATACCTGCAGCCATGGTTTCCCCTTCTCAAACCAGAAGAGCCTTAATTCGGAAAACACCAGTGCTGTACAGAATCTGGTTCCGGACACTCCCAGGGGGAAGCCCAGGCTGGCCAATAACCCGAATCAGACACTGAGGGAATATGAAGTCAGCAAAGGAGCCTGAAACCCCCAGGGCTTGGATGAGTGGGTGGGTGGCGGCCCACTCCCTCACGCCCCTCCTGAAAGCAGCAGCTGGAGCAAGAGCTCCGGCGGGAAGCCATGCTTACTTGTTCTGGTAGGTGCTGATGGTCACGTGAGTCGAGTGGGCCAGCCCCGGAGGGGTGTCTGCCTGATGAATGGTCCCTCTGGGAAAGTACAGCAAATCACCAGGCTAAAGGAAGAAAAAGAAACAGGGAAAGAGGTAATAAAGACATATTCTCAGTCCTCTATGTTTCACGGAGGCAAATACAGGCTTTACCTTTCATTTCTCCCTTCTGGAAACCTCTGCTCGGTGGTTCAAGGGGCCCTGCTGGTTCAGCTTCACTGTGTCGGGGAGACTGTCACTGCGATAGCCAGCCTGGGGAGGCTGTCAGTGCCTGAAATCACTTTGTTCCCAAACGAGGACCGGACCCACCTAAAACTACTCTGCCTAGACCCAGGCATCGGGGAGGTGACCCTCAGGGTTGAGAAGCCTGCCCCCTCCCTCTCCGCCCTTCGCTGGTGCTGGGAAGAGCAGGAGATTTAGAGCCACACAGACTCGGCCACTTACTGGTGACCCCGGCAAATACTTAACCTCCCCCAGAGCCTCAGTGTCTTTATCTGTAAAATGGAGGCAACAGCCCCAAACCTCACAGGATTACCTTGAGGACAAAGGAGACGCCGCAGCCAAAGCTCTCGGGGCAGTGGTGCAGGTGGGGCTGCAGTATTACTAGCACCCACCAGGCATGGGCAGTCTGTGAGTCTACATCCCTCACATGCTCCCAGAACCTAAACTATTACACCATCTATCACCAGTGACAGACTCAAACGATGTTTGAATGAAAGGGTGAGAAACCACTCAGCTCTCACCTGAACCTGAAAACAATACGAAACTAAACATCAGGCACTTTTTCAGGCAGGTGAGCTTCCTCCACTCTGTTTGGGCTCTCTCCCAAGCCAGTGGACAGAAACATCCTCCCCAAATCACTCCTGCCCTGAGCTACCTCCCCTGAGCTACCTCCCCACTAGTCCCACCCAGGGGACAGTCTGTGCAGCAGCCGCCGGAAGTCAGCAGAGGGGCCCTGAGAGCCACTTTGCTGCCCTCTGCAACCACAGGGGGCAGTCTGGCTCAAGGGGAGCTCAGGAAATATCAGACTGAAAAAACTGCTGGGCTTTCTTTTTAATGTTAAGGTTTGCCTTAGAGCAAGAAATAATATACAATTATTTATATTCAAAGTGCTATCTTGGTGGCTTAGTTGCCATGAACCAAACTGACAGAGAAACCTGTAGTTCAAGTACAGTGATCCCACACCTGTCACGGGAGTTACGTTCCAGAGATCCCCGCAATAGGTGAAAATCCCCGAAGTAGTGGCTTTATATTTATTTTATTATTGATATATATTTTAAGGCTTTATAAACCCTTCCCACACTCTTATAAACACTTCATATGCTCTTAAACACTTTCTACACTCTTAAACCTACATAATTTTAACACCATATAAAATTCTATATGGGTGCTCACCAGTGAAGTATACAGTTGTCCCTCGCGAGGGACGACTGTACACAAATGCCTTCTTCATAATCAGAGCTTCAGTGCCAGCCAGCTGAATGAGGCCCTCACATATATTCTCCATTAACCCACTCGCTTCTTCAGCCCACAGACATCTGGTGAACACTGCCCCTCCCTCCGTGCCGGGCCCCACGTTAGGCACTGGGGATAGAGCACGGAACACAACAAAGACCTGCCCCTATGTAGCACATTCCAGAACAGAAGACAAACATCTGAGAAAGAAGAAATCAAAAACATTACAAAGGCACGCTAGTGGAGCAAGGAAGAGGAAAAAAGTAGCAAATAACATCAAGTGGTGGTGAATGCAACGCAAACAAAATAAGCACAGGAAGGAGGGAAATAAGCTGATGGAAGTGGGGTGCGGGGGTGCTTGGGGTAAGAGATGCTCTCTTATCCAGAATGATCGGTGAAAACTTGCTGTGCTGGCAGGACACAGCAGGAGACTTTAGGAGATGAGGGAGCCAGCCATGTGACCACTGGGGAGAAAGAATTCCGAGGGAGGTGGGCAGCAAGTGCAAAGGTCCTGAGGCTAGAAGGTACCTCGGCACATTTGAGGAGTGTGTGGTACAGGCCAGTGGGGCTCAAGGGTAGTGAGTGAAAGTGGAAATGATGGGAAGTGACGTGGGAAGGCAGCAAAGGACCCCAATGACAGGGGCTTCTGGACTGTTTTAAGGATTTCGGTTTTACTGTGGGTTTCATACAAAGTCGCTGGAGGGCTGGGCAAAAGGGCCCCTGAATCTCAAAAGGATCATTATGTCGGAAAAGTCTGCAAAGGGGACACCAGATAAGAGGCTTTTTTTAGACTTCCGCCAAGATGGAGGCATAGATGGATGTGCCGTGCCTTCTCACACAACCAAGTTTAGAGACAACTAAATATTAGCAACAGAAAACACAGCCAGAACACGGAAAATTGAACTTTTCGGAAGTCCGTTAACAACAAATTCTTCAGCCTGACCGGTAAGGGGTGAAACCAGCGGCTGGTGAAGCGGGGTTGCACAGGACTCGGTCAGCCGGACTCAGGCGCCTGGAATCCAGACGCGGAATCCAGGCGCAGGGTTGGACCTAGTGAGCGATGGAGCGAGCGACCTCGGGGGAGCGGGCGGGGGAGCGGTGCTGAGTGTTGACTGTGGTCGCGCATTTGTGTGCGGGTGGACAGGCGAGGGAGTGGGCAGTTGGACCCGGGCCCGGCGGGTCCCCGAGACAAGCGGCAGTGGAGGACGCCGCCATTTCCCCGCTCTGACCCCACCTCCACATACAGCGTCATAACCCAGCGACTCTGAGTGCCCAGCCCAAGTGAACCACCTAAGGCTCGGCTACTCACCCAGTGGCGTGAAACAACAGAGGGGGCCGCCATTTCCCCGCTCTGACCACGCCCCCACATACAGCGTCACAACCCAGCGACCTGGGAGTCCAAGGCGCTGCTTCTCACACTTAAAAAGCAAGAACAGACCAAAAATGGCGCAAGAAGATCTCAAAGCCCCAGAGCCTATAGATCTAAGCAATGAAGAAATAGCAAAACTCTCAGACGCACAGTTTAAAACACTGGTCATCAGGATCCTCACAGAACTGGTTGATTATAGCCACAAATTAGACAAATATATGAAGGCGAAACTAACTGAAATGAATGGAATTGCACAGGACACCAATAGCAATGAAAAGGAAACTGGGACTCAAATCAATGGAGTGGACCAGAAGAAAGCAAATAATGGCCAAACAGAAAAGAGTCAAGAAGCAAGAATTCAAAGAAATGAGGAGAGTCTTAGGAACCTCCAGGACATCTTTAAACGCTCCAACATCCGAATTATAGGGGTACCAGAAGGGGGAAAGGCACAGCCACCAGTGGAAAACTTATTTGAACAAATAATAAAGGAGAATTTCCCCAATCTGGCAAAGGAAATAGACTTCCAGGAAATCCAGGAAGCTCAGAGAGTACCAAAGAAGTTGGACCCAAGGAGGAACACACCAAGGTACATCATAATTACATTAGCCAAAATTAAAATGAAGGAGAGAATCCTAGAAGCAGCAAGAGATAAGGGGACAATCATTTACAAAGGAGTTCCCATCAGACTGTCAGCTGATTTCTCAAAAGAGACCTTACAGGCAAGAAGGGGCTGGAAAGAGGTATTCCAAGTCATGAAATCCAAAGACCTACAACCAAGATTGCTCTATCCAGAAAAACTTTAATTTAGAATGGAAGGACAGATAAAGTGCTTCTCAGACAAGATCAAATTCAAGGAGTTCATCATCACCAAGCCCTTATTATATGAAATGTTAAAGGGACTTACCTAAGAAAAAGAAGATAAAAAAGATGAACAGTGAAAGGACAGCAAACTCAGTTATTAACAACCACACCTAAAACAAAAGCAAACTAAGAGGACAGCTAAATCAGGAACAGAACCATAGAAATGAAGATCACATGGAGGGTTAGCAATAGGGGAGTGGGAGGAGGAGAAGGGGGGAGAAGGTACAGAAAATAAGTAGCATAGACAGTAGATAGAAAATAGATGGGGGGGCAAGAATAGCATGGGAAATATAGAATCTAAAGATCTTGAGACACGTGGTCATAAACTAAAGGGGGGTAATGGTGGGGATGGGGGGTAGGGTGGAGAGGAATGAAGGGGGGAATAGAACTGTAACAGCATAATCAATAAAAAAAAATTTTTTAATAAATAAATAAAAAATAAAAAAGAGTCAGGACCTAAAAAAAAAAAAAAAGGCTTTTTTTAAAAAAGACTTTATTGACATATATTTAGAGAGAAGTGAGGGAGGAAGAGAGGGGGAGAGAAGCACTGATGTGAGAAAGAAATATCAATCCACTGCCTCTTGAACACACCCCGAGGGTTCAGGGTCCTTGGTGGACTGAACCCGCAACCCAGGCATGCGCCCTGACCAGGAATCGAACCAGTGACCCTTCGCTATGCAGGAAAATGCCTAACCCACTGAGCCACACCAGTCAGGGCCAGGTTGGAGGCTTTGTATAAATCCATGTCCAAGGACTTTGTCTTAAACAAGTAGAAAAACGGTGACACGTTTATAGAAAGGAGGCGGCTGGGGACAGGGTGGGACTTGAGATTTTGATTTGGGGAGCATTAAATCTGCAATGCCTTTTACCTTTCTAATGGAGACAGTGTGTAGGCAGCTGGATGAGTCTAGTAGAGTTCAGAGACAGGGACTGGAGCTATAACAATGCATTTAAGATACATCAGTGTAGAGGGTATTTAAAACCTTGGACATGGCTGTGCACTGAGAACAGGGGTCCTGGAAATGAGCCCTGCCCCCTAACTAGCAGAGGTGGGAAGACTGGCTGAGGACAAAACAGTGAAGGAGAAAGGCTAGGACAGTCAGTGAGGTGGAAAACCCTCCAGGACGGCTCATCCCAGGAACCCAGCGAAGAAGGCAGAGTCCCAGTGTCAAATGCTGCCAACGGGCAGACTGAGACGGGGGCTCAGAGTTGACCACCATCCTTGATAACGTGAGTCACTGGTAACCGTGAGAAGGGTCGTTCTGGAGGATGGTGGGAAAAAAAGCCTGCATGGAGGGACTCCCAAGAGGCGGAGAGGAGAGAAAGCCAAGGGCACTGTGACAGGGTCCCCAAAGATTTCTATGTCCTAAACCCCGGCACC